AGAGCCAGGCTGAAGACAAAGACAATTCAACTCTACTGGTGAGCCAAGTTACCGCTCTAGTAAGAACAACGATCTGGCGCCGGTGGAGAGCCATGCCCAGGAATTAGTAGTGCAGGTTGATGAGAGAATAGGATGCAGCTGCGTAGGCAGGAATCACTGGAAACAACCCGCAGCTGCACAGGAGAGGCAGATCCTGAGCACGCCCCCCGATCCACTCCAGACACACCCACATAATGGGGACAGACACACATACAGATACAACAGACAAAGAGGGGACAAAACAAGGAGGAAGGGAAACAGGAAAGGGAGAGACAAGCTGCCCACATAACAGTCAACATTCACAAGGCCGCAGGGCCAGAGAGATTACAAGGACATGTACTCCGAACATGCGCTGACCAACTGGCAAGTGTCTTCACTGACATTTTGAACTTGTCCCTGGCCGAGTCTGTAATACCTACATGTTTCAAGAAGACCACCATAGTCCCTGCACCCAAGAACACCAAGGTAATCTGCCTAAATGACTACCGACCCGTAGTACTCACATCTGAAGCCATGAAGTGCTTTGAAAGTCTGGTCATGGCTCAGCTCACATCAAAACCATCATCCCAGAAACCCTAGACCCACTCCGATTTGCATACCGTCCCAACAGATCCACAGACGACGCAATCTCCATTGCACTCCACACTGCCCTTTCCCACCTGGACAAAAGGAACACCTACATGAGAATGCTGTTCATTGACTACAGCTCAGTGTTCAACATCATAGTGCCCTCAAATTTCATCACTAAGCTAAGGACCCTGGGACTAAACACCTCCCTCTGCAACTGGATCCTGGATTTCCTGACGGCTGCCCCCTTAAGGGTAGGCAACAACACATATGCCACGCTGATCCTCAACATGGGGACCCCTCAGGGGTGCGTGCTTAGTCCCCTCCTGTACTCCCTGTTCACCCATGACTGCATGGCCAAGCACGACTCCAACACCATCATTAAGTTTGCTGACTACACAACGGTGGTAGGCCTGATCAATGACAACAATGAGACATCCTATAGGAAGGAGGTCAGAGACCTGGCAGTGTGGTGCCAGGACAACAACCTTTCCCTCAACGTGATCTAGACAAAGGAGATGATCGTGGACTACAGGAAAAGGTGTCCCTAATGATGGTTGCCAGGTGTGTATAATGATTGGTTGCCAGGACCAGTGGTTAGTAGACCGGCGACAACGAGCGCCGGAGCGGGGGAGCGGGAGTAGACATGACACATGGGTCCGCAGATCCTCAAAAACTTCTACAGCTGCACCATCGAGAGCATTCTGACTGGTTGCATCACCGCCTGGAATGGCAACTGCTCGGCCTCCGACTGCAAGGCACTACAGAGAGTAGTGCATATGGCCCAGAACATCACTGGGGCCAAGCTTCCTGCCATCCAGGACCTCTATACCAGGCGGTGTCAGAGGAAGGCCCTAAAAATTGCAGAAGACTGCAGCCACCCTAGTCATAGACTGTTCTCTCTGCTGCTGCATGGCAAGCGGTACCGGAGCACCAAGTCTAGGTCCAAAAGGCTTCTTAACAGCTTCTACCCCCAAGCCATAAGACTGCAGAACAGTTAATCAAATGGCTACCTGGACTATTTGCATTGCCCCCCCCCCCCCAGCTAATCTCTGTTTATTATCTATGCATAGTCACTTTACCCCTACCTACATGTACATATAACTTTAATTACCTCGACTAACCTGTACCCCCGCACATTGACTCGGTACCGGTACCCCCTGTATATAGCCTCGTTATTATTATTTTATTGTTACGCTTTTATTGTTTTACTTTAGTTTATTTAGTAAATATTTGGATCATTTGTGAGAAGGAGGCAGTGATACTTTCTTTAAAGTCTCACTGCCTCCTTCTCACAAATGATCCCCAAAATATAAAAATTAAATAAAGTTGGTTCAACACAGTGGCGGGTCATTTTGACCCTAGGACAACGGGAGGGTTAAAACTGCATTGTTGGTTAAGGGCTTGTAAGTAAGCATTTCACGGTAAGGTCTATACCTGTTGTATTCGGCGAATGTGACAAATGACATTTGATTTGAGTACTTTAGCTTTATTGATCTATTGTACTTCAACAACAGATGAACTCACATTGGATGGGTTGATTAGGATTCAAACCTCTCAAACAGCCTAATACATACTCTTAGAGTAGGTTTACCCAATTAATGTACTTGGTAATGTAAATGTGTTTTTTCAGGTAAGACACACATGCAATCTACCATCTGGGAATCTGTTCAATGTTCCTAATCTTGATATATACCCATTGGTTCTTGAAGGGGCAATCAGCAGTTCCAACAACAACAAAGCTGTTACCCCGCCACTGTTAAAAAGCTGAAGAATGGGGGGTTGAGAAATGTAACCGCTCTCAAATTCATCGATAGAGCTATGGATACAAAATGAAAATTGTAAAAATATTCAGAGACTAAACAGTGTTTGTTTAAAATTACATTGTTTAGAATGAATAGAACAAGCATATATTTTGGGCTCTGATGGTGTATGACAATTGGACTAAGCTCATGAGGCATTTATTATAGAAGTTATATTATTCAAGAATCAAAGCAGTCACAGATTGACCCTTTAAATACTGTAATTTATAAATGTCTCAAGAGCATAGCTCAACTATCTTACCCTAACATAACCCCAAATATAAGGTTGCATTACTCCATTGTTTATAACAGGAACATAAACCATGTATAGCTTCAACATATGTTCCAAAGCTGTCAACTACCTTGTCCATTCCCATCTGAGTAGGTTTTTGTATTAGGCTAGGTCAAATGTAAGGTTAAGCAGTGGTTTTGCGGACAGAGATTACACCTAGTTCTGGACTAGAATGAATTTTGGCTGGAGATTTTCCATTGACCTTGTTTTTTAGTCCAGGACTAGGCTCAATCTGTGACTGGGAAAACCTCCCCATAATGTTTAAATGAGTGGAATGGGATGATGTTGTCGTGACGTGACTTTCATTATTGTGATGTCTATTATTTATCGAATAATTACCTACTATGTTTAATTGTTACTAGATTAAATTAATCATGTAACAATTTACTCATTAGGAATTTGGGGCACCACGGGAAAAGTTGTTTAACGAGTTACCGTTTCCCTAATTAACTCTAAAGATATCTAGATATCTCTTATAATTTATCAGTCATTTATTAATAATTTACCTCATATCAGTCTCATTCTAAAAGTCGTAGGCTCTTTAAGTCTGCACGAACCCGGGTCTTACTGATCATTCTGTGCCACACAAATTGATTTAATTATGTATTTACTAACTAATTAAAAATGATAACACAAGATACAAACACGTACACGGTATAGGTAGGGATTAGAAACTTAATACAATGAAAACGGGTCCCTAGCGGACTAACACAATATGACACTTGTTACAAAAGATGCGAGCTAAAGGGAGAAAAAGAGAGAAAACACTTGGATACACATGGACCTATGATCACAGTAATCCTTTGCCCCGAACTTCCGCCCATTTGGGAAGAAAAGCAATGCATGTATTTACGTGTTGGAGGTCTTCGTCGTGTATCTCTGTTTGACCCAGGCCTTCATAGGAAGGGGTCGATTGGGCCTTCTCTTTAAGATGGCCTATTAGATGTAAGGCTCAGGTTGTCCACAAGAGGTCACAATGTCCTTCTTCTTAGTTGTCTGTTTACTTTCACTCGTTCTGGAAGTGGTCTTCTGAGGACGGCTGATCAGCCATGTCGATGATCCCCTGTGGGGTGATGAGAGCAGTGTAGTAGACGATGGTTTGAAGAAAGTAACAGGATGGTCCCACTTAAATTCACCTTCTTAGATACAGTATTTAGAACAGCTACTCAGCCGTAACATTGATTGTTAGTGGAGGCAACTTTGTCGTCTTCACCTTGTGTTGATTTTCAGGTTGGGACCAATATGGACAAAAGCTGCAGCTTGAGGTCCGTCTAGTCTGATCTGATCATTCTTATCTCAGTCTTTTATGCACTCTGGTAAAGAGGGGCGTTTCCGTCATACTGACATGCTCTCTGAGCTTCCTCGGGCGTGGCTAGTTACGAGGCAAAAGTATTATTATCACTATGATTTTGTTTGAAAGTTAAAATCACATTCCTATCTTCACGAAAACATTGTCTTCCTCCTTGATATTTTCTATACAACGTAAAGGATGTAAACCTGATATACACAGTGTGAAAGCTCTTCAAGTCACAATGTATTGTTATAACGCCTTTATAAAATGTTTAATGACATCACAAAATATACATTATTTTTTCAATATTCAATTTCTCATCATTCCCAACGTTTGGATGTTGAAATATATTGTCCCAATGTTCATTGTTGGATGTTGAAGTTTTTGGGCGGCATAAGTCTCTGAAACAAAGGACATTCCTTTCACCATACTAGGATGCCAGAGACAGATTCTCCTATCTCTAATTTATGGCAGCATTAAGGTGTCAAGACTGGCACAGCCCCCCCCCCCCCCCCCCCCCCCCCCTAATGTCATATCTAGGGTGATCCTACTTGAAGGTGGGTAGTTAAGGCACTCTCTGAAATGGCACCCTGAATGACAAAGCTTCCATGGGTGGCACTACAGGGCTGACCTAGCGAACTCTGGGGAAGAAGCTGGGGATGCTGATGGGATTTTGAAATCGGGATTGCTTCCATCCCACAGGTGATCCTAGCATAAGACCTCATTAGGTCTTCCATTACGCGTGTGCGCCTGTGTACATAGTAGGTGCACACGCCAAGGGCAATAAGACCAAGGATCATGGTAACAGTCAGGATACTGTCTGGCACCGTCCAAGAGCGGACGAAATACCAATCTTTTGGCTTATAGCCAATCGGGTCAACTAAAAGTGCCTCATTCAGTAAGCTAAGATCAACAGTCATCGGTCCCTCATACTGAATTTGGTTTTGAATAGCTGGTGGTAACTCAAGGGAACGTTTAGCAAAAACGTCAGACATTTCAATATTTGTGTCTATCCTGTCGTCAGGAAGTTGGTATAGGCTAGGTCGTCTATGTGGATAATCGCACCCTCTGGTACCTTAACAAAAATTGTCTGATTGGGGAGGTTCAGTTGGGTGGTTGAGTCATGGCATTCGTAAGTCAAAGTGAAGGCCGTGAATGGGGTGTTAATCAGCCATTGATTTCCTACCACTTCCACTTGCGTGGTGGTGACTCCACCAACTGTTTGGCTCTACAGCGTTCTTCGCTGGTGATAGACTTAAGGCCACAAAGGCGTTCAGTGTTATCCCTGATGAAGGGTTTGCTAGGACTCAAGTAGTGGACGTCTTTGGTTAGAGTACACATTAACAGGTTAGGGGTGAGATAGAAATCTGGATTGTGTTCCTGATAAGCTACGGCTGGAGGTGTGATGATTTTCACGAGTGTTGTCGCGTCAAAATCCTACGTTTAGAACTGTTTTCAACCTATAGATATTCTCCAGTTCAACAACCGGCAGCATCAGTAAAAATCCCACTTCATCTCGATTAACATCAATGTGTATTGGAATAGCAGACCCCAGAATATAGGCCAGGTGTGACTGTAATGGCTTTATCATGGTTGTGGTAGCTGAGGTCAATATGTTGTGCACCATTGAGAGGGGTACTAGATATGAGGGGATTCTATTCATGGCCAAGTGGTCCATAGAAGAGCTAACTTAAGAGAGAAAATCCTCCAACAACAATCAAACCAATTGGACATGGGCATAGTCATGGTTCATGACCTCTACTAGCTTGCCTACCGACAGGAGGGTTTTGTTGAGGAGAGTAGCATGTGTGTTTACCACCAGAATAGTGTCCTGGAGAGACCTTCCCACATGCTGCAACCTGAGTACCTGTGATTGCATCTGTTGCTGGATAAGTGGCATCTCTTCAGTAATCTCCCTAACATTTATTTTGACCGTGGCTAGACTGACTGCATTGACGGCAGTGGTACCTAGAGCAAGTAGTGACCCTACGGCTGCACCTATTGAGAGTAGCGCCCCAATGAATTATTTTTCTCGCCTGGGCTCTGCTAGTTCTGACTGGGTGACTGTGAACTTTTGGAGTTGGGCCAACATTTGGGCAGTGTCTAGCTGAGCGTGCTTAACTGCCTGGGTGGTTCAGTCCCGGCCCAACTCATATGTGCCGCAGGGGAAATGCGTTGTCGGTACACATTCTCTGCATCTAGGCGGACGTACACCCTCTGCCTGTGTACTCTGCAGTTGGTTATAAGGAGTCCTGGATCATCACGGAGAACGATTCCTGTAGGGGGTCCACTCGTGAGTACATCTGCTCGATTGGCTTTGACCAGGGCGCAGAGTGTCAGGATCATCCAAAGGAACTAGTATCAGCTGAGGATACTTAAGAATTTTGTTAGTACCTCTGATTGGCTAAGTTTCTATCTATTCGGGGCTGGCTTGCACCCCTTCTATTCCCATGGGGGGAGTGTACAACTTGATTTGGTTCCTGTGGACCCACTTGAACGTGATGTTCTGTCGACCTTTGCTGATTCTGATTTGATAAGCAACTGGGCCAACCCAGTCGATCTGGATCGAGCTCCAAGGGTAAGACATACCCTTGCACTGCAAGGGTGCTCTGTGAAGTGGCTTGGAGGGTTGAAACTGGCAGCAAACTAGACACCCCCTCACGTATTGTGCCACGTCTTGTTCCATGTGAGGCCAGTGGGCCACCTGTCGCAATGTTTCACATGTAGCCTTGACCCCCCTATGGCCCCAACATGGCTTGTCGTGGGCATGAGCTATCATTATCCCCCTCTGTGTTTTAGGAACCACCCACCTTTGTGTGGCGTCAGTTTCTGAAACATAAACCAGTAGGTAATCTACAAGTGTGAGGTGCTGTTTAGTTGAGTACAGCGAACGCAACTCGTTTGAGCCTGCCAAAGCCAGCTCGGACACTGGGTGATTGATAGGATCAGACAAGAAAGCCATGAAAGTGGCGAGGGACTCATCTTGGTGTTGCATCGCTACCAGGTCACCATTCAAGAATGAATGAGTTAGCAACACATTATGTTCGTGCGAAGATGATTCCCGCAGTGATACATGGCTACGTGTTACTGCAGACACCATGGGCGCCGCCGTGAATTGCACCAGATTTCGCCATGCTGTCAGCATGGTCGATGCCAAGTTTGTCACGACCAGGTGATTTGGAGTGTCCCTTGACTTTTTTCCAATACACCTGTATGTCATGTTTGGTTATGAGGTCAACGCAAGCTAGAATGAGCTCTTTGTTTTTCACTTCTTTGCCACTTGAAGTAGTCATGTGCTTTTGTTTCCAAAACGGCAACTGGCATTGTTTGAGTCGGTGCAGATTGCCAGTTCTGACAAGTCGTGTTTTACCGCAGTTTGCAGTGTGATAAGTACACCAGCTACTTCTGCGAACTGGCTGGTCTTGTTGCCTAGCTGAAATTGAAGCAGTTTGCATGGAATGTCATTGTGCCATACCAATCCCACACCAGCTTGCAAGTGGTCTAGCTGATGGTAAGAACAGCCATCTATAAATTCCATCGGCATGCCAAGACACACGTTGTCTTCGAAGTAGTGATGGTTCGATGGCAACGGCAGAGCTACGTCACATGGGGCTGGTGCGAAGTCGGTTTAATCTTCACCGCAGCGTTGACACACCACCAAAGTCCCACCCAAAGGCAGGTTTTTCGCTATTGCGTAGTTGACAACCACATCATGGCTTTGCGGCATCATGAGCCAAGCTGCTATCCTGCTGTTGTGTACAGCACCCTCACGGATTCTTTGGCTTTTCAGAAAAGTCACCGGCTGGTGACATGTTTCTATGATCACCTTTTGTCCGCCGACATAAGTGGTAAAGTGCTTGAGTAATTACATACTCCCAAGAAGATGCGTACCTCATGAAGGTTTGCAGGCGTTTTGATGTTGCAGACTGCTTGGATTCTGCTAGATTGTGGCAGGATGCCCTCAGCACCCACCAGAAGTCCAACATAGTTGACCTTGGTCCTGCACCATTGTCCTTTCATGATAGCCAGCTCATGAGAACATCGTCCACATAGATTATCGTTCCCCTGTTGGCTGCATCTGGCATTGCCTTGTGCAGGAAGATGTTGAAGTCTGTGGGGGAGTTTGAATACCCGAACGGGCAACAATTGAACGTGAAGAGCTTGTTCGAGAAAGAGAAAGCCAACTTGTGTTGGTTGCGAGGGTTGACTGTCATGGTCCAGAAACCATTCACCACATTGACAGTGGAGAAGTATTTGGCGTTTGTCACCTTTGGCAACTCTTGGTCGAGCTGTGTCATAGGCTAACGAGACAACGGAACTAGCTTGTTGAGTTGTCTATAGTCAATGGTAAGACGCCATTTACCCGTTGGTTTCAAAACAGGCCACACGGGAGCGCTGTACGTATTGTTACATTCCCTGATTATCTGTTTGGCTAATAGGGAGTCGATAATCTCTTGTACCGCCGAATACGCTGTAAGCGGAATTTTGTACTGTCTCACAAACGTAGGAGCTTCTCTGGGTGGCGTAGGAATACGCACCACATGAATAACCATAACCCCGCAATCCAGCGAGTCTGTCAACCAGATCTCTCTGTGTTTGTTAAATAAGTCCCGCAACTGATGTCTTTCAGTGTCATTGACAAGTGCGTCTGCCTCCGTCAGTAGCTGTAGTACCTGTGCATGGAAACCAGGATATTGTTCAGCAGCATTGTACAGGTCTTCATCAGGTGGTAACGGCTTGTCAATGGTGAGGGAATCATTAGCTGTTATGTCATCCGTGTGTACTTCACGTGCAGAAGAAGATGCGGTATCATCCTCCGTGACGATGGAGTATATCAATAGGTCGTTGTCAGAATCAACATCTAGCCTGAACGTTGATGTGTCGTCCAGTGGCAATACGGGAGTTATTGCGATTGCCTTTGACGGAAAAGTAAGAAGTGTCCCTTCCTCACCACATAGGTCTAGGGAGGAAGGAAGAGGCCCAATCACAGGAACAACAAGTTCAAAATCATGGAATGAGTAATCAATCAATATTCCTAGCTGAGTGTGCCGGGGAATGGAGATATCCGCTCAGATTCTGCCCCAAGAGGTAAGTGGATCTGGCGTTTAGCTCCAACAGCGGGTTACCATTGATAGTTAGCCCCAATTCAAATAATTGCGGCGAGGGTTGGAAGAACGCAGTGGTGCCTTCCATCCGGTAGCCGGGCACCAGGTTCAGTCTTATAAAAACCTCTGTGGTTCTTGCCTGTATCACCACGGCGGACTCAGTTATCACGTTGCAAGCTTCAGGAATAGTCTGCCCAGATGCCATTTGCGCAGGGTCGAAAGACAAGGCATGTTGAGCTGGCTGCGCCAAACACCAAAGAACTTGGTGTATGGTATCGAGTTTAACACCCAATCTTACCAAAATATCCGCTCCCACATAGACTGTATGCGGGAGGTTTGCGACAACCAGTAAGTAGTGAAATACTTCCTTGTTTCCAATGCGGATCGATAGCACACATACCCCTAAAGCGGTGAGTGTTGTCTGGGGATTCGTTCCCAGTGGGAATCTGAACATTTTCGGAACCAGGGGGTGGCAGTTAGCCGCTTTTGAAATGTTGTTGAACATTTCCAAACTGATTGCAGATTTTCCGGACCAGGTTGCCAGTATGGCATCCTCAACCATTGTGCCGTTTAGGCACATGCCGCCTATCAATGGAGGGCAGTATGTATCGGCTGGTGATTCACCCAAGCTACATAGGAAAACCTCATGTTCGGTTTGTTTCCGAGTTGAACTAGTCACCCTGTCATCTGCCACAAATGGTGGACTTATTACCAAGTTCACTAGGGGTATGTCAGTTGATGATGCCGAACCATCGTCGTCGCAACGTATTGCATGTAGTCTTCGATGAAAGTGGTGGTGTCAGCGGAGTTATTGCGATTTGTGACCAGATTTGGTTGGATTTCCAATCCATCAGTGGTACCAAACGGTCTAATAAATCCATCCCAATCAGCATCTGCTCTGTGTCAACGCTAGTCACGTACACAGGGTGGACAAGTGACACGCTTTCGATGTTCAGTTATAGTAGGATATGCTTGGTAAGAGGCGAGGTAGCCTGAGTGAAACCTCAAAATTTAGTGTCGCATATTTCTGTTTTTAACCAACGTTTCGCTGGGTCCACTGCCCTTTTGAGTTCATCCAGCAAAGTTTGAGATATGAGGGAAATAGTCGAACCCGAATCTATCAGTGCATCACAGGTCAAACAGTCCTCTAAGACAGCTTTTAGGTATGACCTGTTTGACCTGTTTTTTCTTGTCATATCGCCAAGAAAGTGGAGTGGTATGGCAGAATGGAGTGGTGAGTTATCTGTGTCGATTTTTAAGACAGATTGCTGTACTTCGTGACCCAGTGGGTCCTCTATCGGATTGGGAGAGGAATCAGCTGTTACAACGCTGTTACATTATTAGATGTTTAAACTTATGTAACATTTTGGGTTTTGAGTCGTTGGAAGCTGCAAAAACGATTTTATTCGGTTTACAGACGTCAATGAATCATCAGTACTGGATCAGTAATGTTGGAGTTTAACGAACTTGCAAAAGCAATTTTAATTGATTAATCAATGTTATTGATTAATCATACCTGTATAGGCTATCTGGGAATAAAACTTTAATTAACCTGATAGCATTGTTGTATCGAGGTTAATATGGAAAAGTTTAAATTCTCCTTTGTTGAACCAAATCAATCTGGATCTTATCCAAATGATCAACCTGAAAAGGTACAGTGGGGAAAAAAGTATTTAGTCAGTCACCAATTGTGCAAGTTCTCCCACTTAAAAAGATGAGAGAGGCCTGCAATTTTCATCATAGGTACACGTCAACTATGACAGACAAAATGAGAAAATAAAATACAGAAAATCACATTGTAGGATTTTTAATGAATTTATTTGCAAATTATGGTGGAAAATAAGTAATTGGTCAATAACAAAAGTTTCTCAATACTTTGTTATATACCCTTTGTTGGCAATGACACAGGTCAAACGATTTCTGTAAGTCTTCACAAGGTTTTCTCACACTGTTGCTGGTATTTTGGCCCATTCCTCCATGCAGATCTCCTCTAGAGCAGTGATGTTTTGGGGATGTCGCTGGGCAACACGGACTTTCAACTCCCTCCAAAGATTTTCTATGGGGTTGAGATCTGGAGACTGGCTAGGCCACTCCAGGACCTTGAAATGCTTCTTACGAAGCCACTCCTTTGTTGCCCGGGCGGTGTGTTTGGGATCATTGTCATGCTGAAAGACCCAGCCACGTTTCATCTTCAATGCCCTTGCTGATGGAAGGAGGTTTTCACTCAAAATCTCACGATAC